CCTATTGAGATGTTGTGGTATGACCTTAAAAAGGCCGTTCATGCTCGAAACCCCTCTAATGTAACTGAATTAGGACAATTCTGCAAAAGATGAGTGGGCCAAAAATTCCTCCAGGATGCTGTAAAAGCCTCATTGCACGTTATCGCATACGCTTGGTTGCAGTTGTTGCTGCTAAGGGTGGCCCAACCAGTTATTAGGTTTAGGGGGCAATCACTTTTTCACACAGGGCCATGATGGTTTGGATTTTTTTCCACCTTTAATAATATACACCTTCATTTACAAATTGCATTTTGTGTTTACTTGTGTTGTCCTTGACTATTGTTTAAATTGGTTTGATGTTCCGAAACACTTAAGTGTGACAAACATGCAAAGGAACAGGAAATGAGGAAGGGGCAAACACTTTTTCACCACTGTAATGGTATATCGTTTATAATACATACGCTATAAAACATTCTTTATCCATACTGTATCCTAACACTGCAATAAGTTAGATATCCTTTAAAGTAGACGACTATAAACTCAGTAGAATCTGACACAGTTACCAAGGTTATGCACTTTTTAGACGGTCCTTTACTGACTCCATTACTATAAGGCGCTGATGATCTGCGCTTCCCAAAGTCCGCTTCCGGGCTTTAACGGGAGAAAATGTAAAAATATATTCAATGAAACCGGCACAAGTCATGCTATCAATAAACAGGATATCAGAGGTAGGGAAGATACACAAAAACAAAGTCAATGTCAGAACTAGTAGTAAACAGGCAGCAAATACAACTGTTTGGTAACATCAAAGACAGAATGGAATTGAGCATATACTTCACAAAGAGCAGGCGGTAAAAAGTCTCTACATACAGGTGTGTGTGCATGTGTGTGACTGTAATTGGGATCAGATGTGCCCAGAGGTGAACCTAGATTATGTGGGACCCTTCTGACAGATTTATGTTATGTCTTCAAGTTACTTGGAGATATTGATGGGATCCTTTAGGTGTTAGGTATGATGCACACCTTTTACATTTTTGATAGTTCACAAAATAAATTATTAAATCATATGTAAACTTTATATGAATTTCAAATGGTCCCATTCACAAAATGTACCATAATTTAAAGCTCAATAGCATTTGAAGGAATGACTTACAGTTTAAATTTTTTTTAAAAACTCTGTAAAATGTTAATGCAGGTGTCAGCTACGGTATATAATGAGCAAATTGTGACTGTAAGTCATTTCCTTCAAATGCTATTGAAGTTAGAAACGTAGTATACCAATCTCCAGATGTTTTTCCAAGAAAATTCTTTAGTGTCATGTTTTGCCTTCCAATTTGCATCTCTAGTTCAGTTCTTTCCTCCTCATATCGTTTGCAGTCTAACAGAATGTGTTTTACAGTCTCTTGTGTATTGCAGTAGGTGCAGAGTCCAGTAGGCTGTTTTTCTATAAAGTGTAATGTTAGATTTAAGCCAGCATGAACTATTCTATGACGTGTAATTCTTAAAATTTGGGTTCCTGCCCTGTCTCATACTCATGCCTACTTGTTTTTGTATATTATATACAGTAGGTGTCGTCCAGTGTCAGCTATGTCCCAGTATTCCTGCCATATCTTATACCTGTGCCCCTTTATAATGGTTTTAATCTCTGCTCTACTTAATGGTACTTGTATATCAACTGTTTCATGCTTTACCAATCTATTTGGCAATAAATTCACAGTTTAATTTCCTTCTACCCCTACATGTGCAGGAACCTAAATGGAGTATGAGAGGCAGATGGTAAACAATGTCTTGTCTACATGATGTTTCCCCAGATTGTACAGTATATTTGATAATGCAGATAGACCGTCCAGAAGCTACAGTGACATTTTGGTTCTGATGTTTTTTTTTTCCAACCACTGCAGTGAAAATAGGACTCCTAATAGTTCTACAGTGTTCATTGATAAATGAGTAGTTGCTCTTTTTGACTGGTACTTCATAACGAGGAATAAGAAAAGCAGCACCAGTGCAGCCTTTCTCAGGCTGTTTTGACCCATCTGTATATGAGTAAATTAGTTAGTTACAGTTACATTTATATACAGCACTTTTCTAGACACTCAAAATGCTTTACATAGTATGAGGAGGATCTCCTCAACCACCACTAGTGTGTAGCATACACTTTGATGATGCGACAGCAGCCATATTGAGCCAGAAAGCCTACCAAATTCCAGCTATTAGTGGGGAGTGATGTAGCCAATTCAGAGATGAGGATTATTAGTGGGCCATGATGGGAAATGTCGGTAGGACACTGGAGTTATACCCCTACTCTTTTATGATAAGTGTCCAGGGATTTTTAATGGCCACAGAGAATCAGGCCCTCGGTTAAACGTCTTATCCGAAGGACAGTGCTCTGTTTAACAGTATAGTGTTTCTGTCACTATACTAGGACATTAGATCACACAGACCACAAGGGTGACCACCCCTGCTGGCCCCCACTATTACCACTTCCAGCAGCAACCTTAGTTTTCCCCAGAAGGTTTTCCCTCCAGGTACTGGTCAGGCTCAACCCTGCTTAGTGTCAGTGGGAACCCAGGCGAATACGGTACGCAGAGATATGGCTATGGCATTATCCTGATAATGGTCCATATAGTTTTTAACTATTATCCACTGTGTTAGACTTGTATCTACAGATGGTTTTATGAATCTCCAGGGTGGTACAGTTGGTATTGTCACAATGGGGCTTACTTGTAGCTGGCTGAGGTCTGCATTTTGTGCCTTTGGATTTGCTAACCATCCGAAACTGTTAAAGTTAGTTCTATAAAACTCTGAGCAGTCTTGTAAGATGGATTTCGTGGAGTGCACCCTGCTATGCCCTTATAGATTTATCCAATACACCAGCATGATATTGACCCTCCTAATATTCAAAGACATCTATCCTGTCTCAACCTGTAATGCAGTCACTGGTGATGACTTAAATGCTCTAGTACAGATAGGGAGTGCTTGTGACTGTTCCATATCAGGCTTTTAAGATTTGATTGTAATGCCGACATATATGCAAGCATAATCAAAGGCAGCTCTTATAAGAGCCTGATCAATAGTTATGAACCATGCCCTACTTGCTCCCCAGTCTCGCCATGACAGACACATTACAAAACATTATTAATCTTTTTACATTTGTTCTTAACTTTATCAATATGCTTACACCAGGTCAACTTCTCATCAAAGAGCACTCCTAAAAATCTCACACAGCCTTGACCTGTTGAAGTCCATATAATTTAAGTGATACTGTTTAATGTAGTTTAGGAAAAATATATAACTTGTGATTTTGAGATTGATAGTTTAAATCCCCATTCATTTGCCCACTGTTGTACTTTCTTTCTTAAATATTCTATATATATCGACCTCTAATGTCCGAGTTGCAAATGACTGACTCCTTTGTATCCAATTCAATTTTAATCGATGGTTAAATGATTAGTGGCTGTGGCTCAGGTGGTTGAGCGGGTTGTCCAGTGATCCACTAACCCTAGGGTTGGCGGTTTCATCCCCGGCCCGCATGACTCCACATGCCGAAGTGTCCGTGGGCAAGACACTGAACCCTAAATTGCTCCCGATGGCAAGTTAGTGCCTTGCATGGCAGCTCTGCTACCATTGGTGTGTGAGTGTGTGTGTAATGGGTGAACGAGACACAGTGTAAAGCGCTTTGGAGAAAAGCGTATGCGCCATTTTAAACAACTGAGCTGTCCAACACTGAACTCATGAGATGTCATTGTCTGAATTGATGTATAACAAATCATTTACTCAGAACATCTCTGAAATGAGAATGTAAGTGTGCGCACAACATTTAGCAAGAGTGGTTAGTAAGAGTGTCCTTAATAATCCACAATATTTTCATTTGTTTATTGTTTATTTATATGACACTAGTAAATGCACCTTTAAAATTATTTATTTTAGACTGGAGCAAGTTGAAACCAGAACAAAACAAGCCGTTAGCTAGCTGCTAATTTTATTTAATTGTATATAGTAGAAAATTAGACTATTGGTTAAAATAAAATGTTTGTGCTACTTTTTAATATTGATATGATTTATATACATAAATAATTATCAGGTCTAGGCAAGAAAGATCTTATCTTATAAAGCTATTAAAGCCAGTGGAAAAGTCACACCTTTTTTTTTTCAAAGAGTGCAAGAAAGAATTCTAAATCACACACAGACCTGTTGCCAATCTTATACTCACTCACTCTATGCTATACAAGAGATTATTCAAACACTTAGTCTTTAACCTCTCAAGTTAAGTTTAACTAAATCTTTCTGAAGTGAAAAAATATATCTTATGTTTTCAACATGTCACATTAATAATGTCACTGAAAGGTTCCAAAATTTTCAACAAAGTTACATTAAAACTGCAGTTAATGTGGTACAATTGGGGGTAACATCCAGAGATACATTGCAGCACTCACAGAAGATGGTAAAGTCAAATACACAGATGAGACTGCACCAACAAGAAGCACTTATGACTGTATTGCAATTCAAGTGCTCCTATTTGAAGTCTATTTGAAATCTAATTGTGCTTTCTTTTCAAAGTATTGGATTTTGTCCAAACAAATTGTTAAAAAAAAAGTATCTTTAGTTGCATGAATCACCCAATATTAGTCATATTGTTTCACTTCATAAAGATTTAGTTAAGCTGTTGCCAGTGTACTCTGTGAAATTAATTGTGTCAACTGTTTTTTTTTCCACATGAACTGTTGTACCATCATCAGAACTTCTGTCCCTTTGGGATTCAATGTGGGTTGTGATGTGAGCCATCTAAGGTCTGTGCAGATCTTGAACTTTTAAAGGAACAACACCAGTGTCAGGTCACTCCAAATGAAAATCATGCTCAATTGGTAAATTCTCAGTAAAATAGCAGGTATGTAACAACTATAAACTTTTAATAGTAATTATTGCACATGATGTTTCAGTGAAGAAGACAGTCAGCATTATTGTCACAATTGATTCTCCAGCACTGGCTCTGACCTGTCTGAATAACAAATTAGAATTTCGGACATAGCAGGCAAGATTGAAACCTGCCCAGGGAGACCCCAATGGATTTCAAGTCCATCACCTTGAACATTCGGCAACAACTACATAGCTTCAGTTTGGACCAACGTCTTAACGTATTTCAGTGAACTTTCTTTCAAAATGTATAGGCTTCAGTTAGGGACTGCTCCAGTATTTTCGCAACAGCACAACAACGCATTGTAGTAGGTTCACTTGGCAACCGTCTACTGACAGTGCCACAAAATCAAGCCACTGCTATAATTTGAATCCTAGAATTCCACTGTATAAATATTTAGTCAAACCTTTCCCCTGTATTGTACATGCTTGTAAATGCATCAGTGAAAGCATCATATGTCTGTGTACCTACACTAAATCTAGAGTGATAATTGCCTTTCAAAGTCTGAATCACCTGGTTCTTTCACATTGAGTGATCTACCATCATCAATTCTATTGTCAAATTGGATTTTGTGGGTTGGACTGTGAATGATCTCAAGTTCTGATCAGTTTGAGTATATAAATTAAAATTTTCCTGACTCAGGTTCAGAATGAAATAGAGGTCAACTGGTAAATTCTCAGTGGACACGTTCTAGTATAGAAGGCATGTAATGGTTCTTATTTTTACATATTTACATTACTTGTAATGCTTCTTTATTGGAACATATGCCAGGAGAAGATGCAAGGACAAAGAACACCTATCTGTCTTATTGTCAGATTGATACCCGAACAATGGCTCTAACCTTTCTGAATAATTTGGTAAGTGCTATTTGTTGGGGTTTTGCGTGATTCAAGCAACTAATGATAATTTTATTTATTTTATGTTTACATTTTTACAATTTATTAAACTAAACTCCATTGGGACAACATCAAATACATTCAAAAGAAAGCACTATGAGATTAATTCAAATAGAAGTGATAATTTTCATTCAGTCAATAAGTACTACTCTCTGGGGCTGTCTCATCTGTGTGTTTGACGTTACTAATTTATGTGATTGCTGCAATGTAATTCTGGATGTTACCCCAATTGTATCACATTTACTGCAGTTTTAATGTAACTTCCTGCAAGCTTTGGAACCTTTCAGTGATATCAATAATGTGAAAAAAAATATTACGTTTTCAACATTTCACAACGATTTAGTTAAACTGTTCCCAGTGTACTCTGAGAAATTCATTCTGTCAACTGTTTTTTTGGGTTTTTTTTTTACATGAACTGTTGTACCATCATCAGGGCTTTTGTCCCTTTGGATTTCAATGTGGGTTGGGATGAGAACCATCTAAGGCAGGGGTGTCGATCTTATTCAGATTGTTTAGCCAGTTTTAGTTATTGGACTGAATTGCATAAGATGTTCTCAATCCAATGAACTTGCAGTTAAATGGTTAAATACATTTTTATTTCTGTATATTGTTCATACAAATATATCATAAACGTTTTACAACTGAAATGAATTAAGGAAGCCAAAACACATCTCACCAAGAAGAGACTGTGGTGTTGTTTATTGTTACAAGCAGCAAGTTAGTCCGGTCCAGTAACTCTCTACAGTCTTCAAGCAGCTGTTTGCTGTGACTGTATGTCATGACGATTGCCTGGGGAATGGGAATGGTTTCCCCCATGTTATCTTTCAGCCTATTTCTGGCTTCCCGATATTCTTTCAGAAGCCTGATGGCAACACATTCTGAAACTCTGTTCACATCAGGTCTCTGGGCAGCCTGGCCATGAGTCATGAACAGTCTGTGGATTAAAAGATTGAAGAAAGCAGTCAATATTTTGTCACTAAATTTAATCTACAGACTTGCTTAAGCAATATCACATGACCAGGAGTGCTGCTGTTCCAGAATATCACACAGTTTTGATTAAGCCACAGGCCATGGGCCACAGGTAATCACATCCATGCTGATATTCAAAACAACAGCACTCTTGCTCGTGTGACCCTGCTTTTACAACAGTCCTATAAACAAGATGTTAATAATAAGTAACTTATGTTTTAGACACAAAATTGCCAGTTACTTTCAATATTTTTGCTCCACCTATAGGGGATATCAAGGATCAACTGTTGTCTTGCATGGTCATTTTGAACCATTCAGTTGAGTAAGTCAATGACTTTCAAACACACAAAAAAAAATTGTCACAATTTAAATTGCAAAAAGAGTCACTGAAAAATCTCCACCACTAACGGTCAGACTGACAGCCTGCCTGGAACACCGCAAACATGCAGAAGTGAACATTGATACAAACTATGAAAAATCCCAGTGCTGTTACCAGCTATATATCAGCATTCTTAGAATGCCTCTTGGGGAATCAAATTGAATTAACGGTTGTTTAATGAGCTATAATGGATCATTCTAATTATATTTGTAAATGAAAAAGTACATGCATCCACTAAAGTTTAATTCACCTCTCAGCTGCTGCCTGACAAATTCTTTTTCGGGAAGCTCTCCAAAGTCCTGGCAAGGTGTTCCTCTTGCATTTAAGTGAATATTTAGATGGCAACTGGACAATGGCATGCAGACCAGAATACAACAGCAAAATCTCTGATATCTCAGTGGCTGACAGAGCAGTAATAGTGCGGTTGAGGCCATCAAGTTACTCTGCCATGTTATCCACTGCCTCCCATCCAGGAACACCTCTTGAATCACACCGACTATCCTGAAAAAGGAGATGGACACAAAAAAACAAATCCATTCATCTTCTACTGCTTACTCCTTTTCAGGGTCGCAGGGGAACCTGGAGCCTATCCCAGGGAGCATCGGGCACAAAGCAGGGTACACCCTGGACAGGGTGGCAGTCCATCACAGGGCACAATCACATCACATACACACAAACACACACACACCCATTCATGCACTATAGACACTTTAAACATGCCAATCAGCCTACCATGCATGTCTTTGGACTGGGGGAGGAAAGCGGAGTACCTGGAGGAAATCCCCATAGCACGGGGAGAACATGCAAACTCTGCACACACCTGGCCCCGGCAGGAATCAAACCCTGGACCTTGGAGGTCTTGACTTTCCATGATCGAAATAAGGTAAGAACTGGGGTTATACCAGTGAAAAACAAGGAATGTATTTATGCATTTTCTTATATTTCAATTTCCAACACCAAGCAAAAATACTATGGCTATGAGAGCCCAGGTTTAGGGTTCCCAATTTATGTGAAACCTGGAAGTATCAGGGAAGGTTTAAAGATGTGATTTCCAGGCTTGACAAAGTCATGGTAATGAACAAAATCCTATAAAGTTATGGAAACTTCTATAGTGCATACATGGATTTAGTTATGATGAACTCAGACCTGCTAATATTACTCTGTGCAAGTGCTAACACAAATTACATAATGATTACTGGTTGATCTTCACTCCAACACAAATCACAAAAACATAGAAAATTCTGCAAATAAGTGTCTTTTGCAAGATCACTCATTATGGGGTGGGAAACAAGAAAATCCTGATAGGAAAAGATTAGGTCACACACCTGTCTCACTGTCACCAGCTATTTTTTTTTTTTTGGTGATTTATATGAATACATAAACATATAAATTAGTATAACAATGAATGAAAATCAATTGAAGTTACCATATATTTGCCTACACGTAAACACACTTATCTTCTTTGTGGAATCAAGCTTCAGGATTCTACCATATGTTGAGGTTAATAACACTTTTTAACTCGTCAAGATGACCCAGGATCTCGTTGGCATGGACTGTCTCCAACCACTGTGCCAGGGGTAGGGGGCAAAATGGTGGTGGCTGCTGATAAAGCTCTTAATTTGCTTACTGCAAGTAACTTGAGCTGTTTCCTACAGTTCTTGGCTTCAGCAAAGTTACACATTTTCTGTCAAGAGCAAACTGAGTGTGTCACGGTTCCCCCTTGAGGTTGCGCGAGCGCGTGCGTGTCTGTTGTGACATTTGGACATGTACTTTTATTTTGTTTCTGTCATTGGCTGGGAGAGCATGTGTGTTGTGTTTATGTTCGTCATGTCCCCGCACCGTTTCTGTCATAGGTTGGATCCCCACGTGTGTCTGGATTGCATTCAGCTGGTTTAAGTTTAAGTTTAAATTAATTCATGCCGGCTTATATACGACGCGCCGTACTACACACGGGGCGGTTAATTAAACGTCGTATCACGTTCCATGTTAGTTGTAGTTCACGCTGGGTTATCCGCTCCCACGTTCATGTTTGTTTATGTCAGTGGTGTCAAACTCATTTTAGTTCAGGGGCCACATACAGCCTAATTAGATGTCAAGTGGGCCGGGCCAGTAAAATCATAGTATAATCACCTATAAATAACAAGAAGTCCATGTTTTTACCTTTGTTTTCATGCAAAGACATTTATATTTAATGAAATATCCTTTTATAAAATATATCATGAACAACCTCAGATTTCTTAAGACAAACATGTGCAATTTGCTTCTGATTATCATTCACATATATGTGCATTACAACTGCTCACAGTGTTTGTACAAATGCAAAAAAAAAAACTTCACAGGTATTTGGAACTGAAAAATATAATATTTCACTTTAAAATTGATGGCATTGCATGAACAATAGGATTCCACCAAACCAAACTCTTTTGTATTGAAGCTGTTGACTAACATTAAATTGCACATTTCTTAAACTATTACCCATTCATCTCTGTGAATAAACAGGAAGCGGTCAATTTTTCATGGAAAACTCTACACTCTGTATCCACTGCTTTTTGGCAGACATTTTGGCTAATGAGGGTGTGGGGAAGAGTAAAAAATAGAGTAGACTACTCCGTGATAACAAACAGCAGACGTCGCATTGCTGCCATCTGCTGTTCAGTCCCAGAGATGTGCCGCGGATAATTTAGGAATAGCATTTTATTGAAAATGACAAGTTCATGTCTATTATGCATATTTTTTTTTCACTTTCAAAATCCGTCCTGCGGGCCGGATTGAAACCTCTAGCGGGCCGGTTTTGGCCCGCGGGCCGTACGTTTGAAACCCATGGTTTATTTTCATCAACCCTGTTTTCTGGGACCCTCGCCTGTTTGTGGATTACGTTCTGGATCACTGTTTGGATTTGTCTGCCTCTCTTTCCTTAATAAAACCTTCCGTTCTAAACTGCGATTAC